GTGGAAACCTTGGGAAGGGCCATTTCCCCCCTGTGAGCCAACTTTTGGTTTCTGGGCTCCCTGGGTGGCGTCCCCAGGATCCCAGGACAACAAACGTCGTGCGCGTTGCGGCCGCCGCCATGGCGCCGTCCTCCGCGCGCCGTGCCTCGGCCGTGGCATGGAGATGCAGGGACTGCGTCTTCCGCGACGGCTCGAAGTACATCAACTCCGCCACGTCCATGTATTGCGGCAAGTGCAGGCTGCACAAGGGCGTGTGCTACGGCGGTCCCAAGAACCCTGCGTCCCCGTCCAAGTCCACGGCCAACAAGGACAAGGACAAGGACAAGGACAAGGACAAGGACAAGGACAAGGACAAGGACAAGGACAAGAGCCTCGCCAAGCAGCTCGCGGACTTGCAGGCGCAGGTGCGGCGCCTCACCTCGGGCGACAAGGCTGGGAGCTTGGGCAGTGGAGGCCAGTCCTCCGCGCCAGGTGAGGGTAGTGGTGGTCAGTCCACTGCACCCCAGGCGGACCAAAATGCCTCCAAGCGTGCTCGTATCAAGCAGATCACGGACATGATCGAGCTCTTCGAAGGCTCTCAGTCCATTGCTGACCAGGCCTACGCCAAGACCCTCGTGGCCGAAAAGGAGCGCCTCAACACAGAGCTCTTCGATGGCCGCCCCCTCGAGGACAAGGTTACCTCTTTGGGGGCGAGGGTCCGCAGTGCTCGGTCCAAGGCCACCAAGCTGGCTGAAGAGACTGAGGCCCTTGAGGCCCAGCTCGCGGACTTGGAAGCAAAGCGTGCCAAGGTCCAGGAGGCTCATGCTTTGGCGGAGGCGGAGGTCATCAGGTCGGAGCAGGAGTTCACTGCCCTTGCACCTTCACGATCGCCCCCTGACTCCAAGCAGCCGCCGACGATCCACGACCTCCTGCCGCAGGCCGAGCTCACGGTGCAGCAGCTGGGCCAGGCCGTCGCGGGCAGTGGAGTGGATGCCGCTGTCCTCCAGGAGTTGCAGGGCGCCACGGCGTCCCTGGCCACCTCCATCAAGAAGGTTCGCGAGGCGACCCCTGCTCCACAAGCCGCTGATGTACCGGTTCCTGCCGAGGGCGCTGAAGGGACTGCGATGGAGACTGAGGCCCCAGAGGCCTCGGCTCCTCCCGCTCGCGTCAATTACGACGACCTCACAGGGGAGCAAATGCGAGCCATGTTCATCGAGCTCGGCAATGCCCCCCCTGCGGGGGCCTCCGACGACGACATGCGGGCTGCCGTCAGGCGGATGGAGGACCAGCTCCTCGCCCTCCGCGCCTCGGTGCCTGCCGTGCCGAAGAAGGCGCGTGCCGAGTAGGCGCTTGGCTACATCCCTCCTGCTCTTCGTCATGCTGATCCTGAACTTCGGCCCCGCGCGTGCCGTTCAGAGCTCAACTCCAGACGGCGCTGCAGGAGGGCCGATTGGAAGCCAGACTACTGACGGCCATGGTGCAACAGCTTTTCCTCCACATCTGCCCCGCGTCCCTGATGGCGCCCCCGCTGCCCGAGGGATGCAGCGACTGCGCCCCAGGCTCATGAAGGTATATAGGGAGCTCCTCCACATAAGGTACCACGGCTACTACATGAACACGTTCACTCTCCTGATGGTCAACTGGTTGATGGCTCGTCTGGCACAGCCACTGCCTCAGCCTCCTTGCCTGATGGGGCTCCTGTAGCTCCTCAGGTGGATGTCGACATGCCCCGCTTGCAACGTCCTGAACGTTCGCGCAGCCCGCGTCTTCATCCTGCTCAACAGCCTGGTGTTCAACAGCCTGGTGTTCACCAGCCTGGTGTTCCACAGCATGGTGGTGAACACCACTGTGGCGACCGTGATAGTGGTAGCCCTGCTGTGGATGCTCCTGCTGTTGCTGAGGATCCAACGGTCGCAGCCGATGGCACCCCTGAGGTGCCGCGGCGGGGTCAGCGCATGCCCTGCCAACGCGACATCGTCACGGTCAACTCGAGCTCTCACGGCCCGCTTATGGGCTTCCTCTTGCACTTCCAGGGCGTCGCCGTCATGGGCCAAGGGACTCGGGTGATTGAAGGCCGACTTGGTGCTATTCAACATCAGTCTTTGGACCTCGGCTGGCATGGGCTATGGGCCCCTGCGTTACCGACGATTGGCACGTCCGACTCTGCCAACACGTCGGGCGCGTGCGTGCTCGTCCCCACCCGCATTGGGATCACTGCGCCGCCTGGGCAAGGCGGCCACATTCTCTACCCTGGTCGCGCGGTGGCTGCACATGTTCACTGGGGCGTACCTGGTGGGCTCATTCTCGTTAGCGTGTACTTGGTTCAGGGCCTCGGCGTGGCTGATGAGAACATCAAGATCCTGTGGGAGCTCGCCCAGCGGATCGCTGAGTGGAATGCCATGGGCATCGACTGGGTTCTGGGTGGTGACTGGAACTCTAGCATCAAAGCCGTCAATGTTCGGGGCTGGATCGAAGCGTTGGCAGGGATCTCATTGGTCCCTCCAACTCCGACGTGCTACACCATCGACTACTTCATCTTGACCTCGAACCTGGTCTCCCGCATTCACGCCCAGGCGATGGTTCGATGGGATTGCAAGACAATTCCCAAGCCGCACTACCCTGTGCAGGTTACCCTTCACGGGCATGATCGGCCTCGGTGGTGCTGGGTCCCCGATGAACCCCAACCGCTGCCGGCTGCACTTAAGGTGGGATGCGCTCGTTGCCCCTATCCCTGGCGTCGCCTTCGTGCATTTTTT